AGGATAAAGAACTGATATAATCCAGTTGACAATGGAGATGGCTGCTTTGTGAGAATACTGAGGTAAAATTGACAGAATCATTGGAATAAGGAGATGAGAAGGAGACAGCTTGAAGATGACTTCTGGGTTTCTAGCTTGTGAGACAAGGATTATGGTTTTATGTTTTTTTCATATTAACTGAAAAAGAATATAAGGCAAAAACTGAGTTGGGGAATGGAAAAGAAGTTTCTCAAGTTCTGCTTATGATTAATTTAGCTCAGGAAAAAGGGAAATACGTGTATACTAAATTTGTTGAGATGTAAATATAGTGAGACGGTTTTAATTTAGAATATGTAGAGACATAGAGGTAAATGCATACATCATGAGGTCTAGTGAAAAAAAGTCTTTATTTTGAGAACTAGTTAAAATTTGTCTTCTTAAGCACGATAAAATTGTTGAACTAATTATGTAATAATAAAAATTGGGTCTTTGTTTCTCCAAGAGGGTTTTAGGATTGAATGAGACTAAGATAAAGGAATCTGAACCTCTTGACTTTCTCCAGAAAAATCTCAGCAGAGATATCAGGATTGGGGGTTACTAAGACTACAGCAACCATTTGCAGGGGAAAATTCTTAGATAATGACAATATCTTGCCCTAGGATCAGGGATGGGAATATGCTGTGTATGGGGGCAGGAGGAAGAAGGGGACGATTATTGGTATCACTTGTTTGTCCCCTAATACTTCATCATTACATTTATGTACTTGCTTTTTTAGGTGCCCGGTTTTAAGAGATCAATTTTGTCAGTCCACATGTGGTAGTTGGGTTAGTTAGAGAAGACTGAAATAAGCTGTCTTTAGTTCTTCTGAAACATTTGGAACAGGGAAATGAGGAAGGAAAAACAACATGGGCAGTTGTAGGCCTGGTGTGGTGGCTCACGCCTATAATTCCAGCACTTTGGGGGAGCTGAACAGGAGGATTGCTTCAACCTGAGAGTTCAAGACTGCAGTGAGCTATGATGATGCCACTGCACTCCAGCCTGGGCGACAGAGTGAAACCCTGTCTCAAAAAAACAAAAACAAACAAAAAAACATGACAAAAAGAAAATACAGGTAGTTCTGGACATATTGAGGACTTTCACATAGCCTGTCTAGTAGGTGGCTGGAAATATAAGCCTGGAACTATATATTTGAACTATTAGCTTAGAAATGGTTGTTAGAGGGGAAGGGCTGGACAGGCTCTCCTAAGGGGAGCACAAAGAATGAGAAGTAAATGGAACACAGATGGAATCCCTGCTGATCCTACTAGTTAAAAGACACACTGAGCAAGAGGAATCTGAAAAGGAGACTAAAATAAGACATTCAGAAATGTAGGAATGCTTATATTTATTCTTTTAAAAAGGGACACAAAATCTCTTAAAGAATGCCTCAATTTATAATAGCTAGACACTTTATTTCTTGTCATACTATATGACTAACATAATAAAGCCCAATCTACAGATATTTTCTTTTCAACAAGGATGCCAACATTTTACTTAAAAGAAAACAACTTTATTATGACATCGCCACTATATACAGCCATACTTTTCACATCATGTTGGTTCAGTTCTTTGAGGGAAATCTTAACGACTAAAATTGTACAGGTCATAGGACAAGAGAACTAGTTGTACAAATTTGATAAAAAATATTCCGGGATAACTATAAACTATATTAACACTGTCTTAGAAAAATTATTTACAACTTTATTATAGTATAAACACTCTAAATTTAAAATAAATCTATGAATTTTATACCAAAATACTCTAAAGTATAAATATAAGTTAAATGCTAAATAAAACATTGACCATGTCCAGTGGATGCTATTATTAAGAATATATTCTAGGTGTAAAAATTTTAAGTGATAACCACAAAACAGTATTACCTTAATCATTCATAATTTTAAACATTTTAATAGTAATTATAAGGTTTATAGTTTCATTGAAAAATGCTTATTTTTCAAATGCAGGTTATATAATTTCCTTCATGGACCTCTTCTCCGTTTAGCTCATGTAAAAAGGTAACAAAATAATAAAAAATTCTCAGTCAAAAGTTGACATGTTATGTGAAGTATATAAATTGTAAAATTTTCAAGCAGTCTTATATCTACTTGATTCCCTTTAAAAAGGAAGCAGTTATATGTACTACATCAGAAAAGAGAAAACATACTGCTTCGGGGTACCTAATCAATCTAAAAATAACATCCCCACACTGTAGAAAATGTTAAGTGCTAAATCTTTAGCAGCCATTGTTTTATAAACAGAAAAAAACTTTTGCATTTAAATAATATTAGTATGAAATATCTTTGGAATAGTATAAGAAGCATCTTGCCCACACTGTAGAAAATGTTAAGTGCTAAATCTTTAGCAGCCATTGTTTTATAAACAGAAAAAAACCTTTGCATTTAAATAATATTAGTATGAAATATCTTTGGAATAGTATAAGAAGCATCTTGCCAAGAGGCATCATTTTGCTGTATAAAAAGTAAGCATATCTCATTGTTTAATAATTTTTTCTAAATGCTACAAAGGGCTATTTTGAAACAACATTGATACTATTTACAGTTGGGTTTTTACCTTGAGGTATTAATTTTGCATTTGGCTGGATGTTTTTAAAAATTAAAAGTGTATGTGTGAATAGTAATTTTAATTTTCTAAGATGTTTTGTTAAAAATTCCATTAAAAAATACATATCCTAGTTACCAACCATATTCCTGCAGAGAAAATGCAGATTAAAATTATTACACTACAAACAATTTGGACTTCAGTTCCAGCTTCAAGTTCCTCTCCATTCTATTAATTAGAGTTACAAATATGGCATTTAGTGGGCAATTAATTGTGGATACCAGCATATGCCTAAGACCTAAGCAACTGAAAAAGTACTTAAGACTTCTACTTTGGAACAGAGTAAATACTGACACTGGGAAAATTTTAAGTGGCTCATTTCTCCTAACACATTAGTACAAATTAGCAAACTTTTAGAATAATTTAGTCGTGGAAGGAAGGAAGCATAATCTCATCTTCATTCACTCCTGGTTCGTACCGAACTGATGAGAAACGTGCCCAGTTGAAACGATTCTTTTGGAAGAAGAACCAAGTGAGTACGCTGATGAGAGCTAAGACACTTAGCACTGCAATTGCGATAGCTATTCCTCTGTAATCAGGGCCTGGAATAGGAAAAGGTTGACATTGAGGAGAAAATACAAAAGTGATCATTGTTATTAATTTTATACATTCAGGTATGTGTCACATATGTAAGCCCATAAACTGTGTACATTATAGATACAATAAATACATGATTGTCGCATAGCATTAACACAGAATTCAAACTCATCATTGAACCCTTAAGTGCCTTCTTTTCAAATTTAGGTGTTTTCCTTTTCATTCAAATCCTCTTCATTGCTATAGAAATTTTCTTCCAAAAAAATTAAAAGCACTTTGATTATTCTCACTTTCGCTTCCCAACACCCTTTTAGGAAGACTTTACTACCTATACATTATCCTACTTTGATAGCAAATTGCAAAAAGCTGTAAATTTTTGTGTTAGACTTACCTGGGGCCAAATGAAGCATTATTTGCTTTAAAATGATTTAAGCCTCTGAGATGACCTCATTTAGTGCCTATTCAACTTCAACTGCTGTCCCAGGCCCCTTCTCTGCATGCCGCTCAGAGGGATTCATTGTGTGCCATACCTTTAAATACCATCCCTACGCTGACTCTCCTTCTGGCTCATATGTCCAACTGCATACTAGACATCTCCATACAGATATCTCATCTCCAAATGGACAACTCAAAATGGCCAACACAGAACTCCTGATTTACACCACCCTAAACCTGCTCCCATCTACCCTCTAAAATCTTCCAGTTGCTTTCCATTCCACTCAGAATAGAGCCAGAACTCTTCATCCTTGTTTCCAAAGCACCTGCCTACCTTCCAGCTCTTCCTGGAGCACACAGCAAGCTCATTCTGCCTTAGGCTCTTTGTCCCAGTTGGTACCTCCACCTGCTATGTCTTTTCCCCTGATCTTTGGTTGGCTGATTTCTTAGATCTCAGCTTCCGTGTCTCCTGCTGTTAGACATTATCCCTGATAACCTAACCTAGAGTAGCCATCTACCTATTTTTGATCACATAGAGTTTACTATTATTTGATATTTTCCTCTCTTTCAAAAATTGACCTGCTTGTTTACTTATCTTTCCTCACTAGATTGTAATCTCTGTGAGAACAGGTACCTTATCTGTCTTGTTCACAGGGGTATCCAGACGCAGGGCAGGGCATGAGTGACATATAGTAGACACTCTAAATATTTGCTGAGTAAATGCACGTATCTATAGATACTGATTACCTAGAATCTGGGTTTTATCTTTAATATTTATACACAAAATGGAAATTTTTATGCTAGATCTTTAAAAATGTTTTAGTGAAAAATTTAGAGCTCTTTCTTCAGAAATGAAGTTAAGATAATATTTTTATGGTTATTTTATGTAGCAATTCATGATGAAACACAAGTTAAAATTATTTCATACAGATACCCTGAACATGTTAAGTAATTCAATCTAGTTTTGCATCATTTTAAAATTAATCATGAGTTTTATAGGAATGGGAAGAAAGGAAGCAAATTAACTACAGAAATAAACCTTTAAGCTTTTACATATTCAAACTATAGAATAAAATACATCTCAAGACCATTTTCAAAGAAATTACCTCCCTAATACTCTGGCAGCTTCCATTTTTCTTAGGAAAGAATTATATAAAGTTTAGACTGTTTAATAGTTTCATTTGGGAGCCCTAGACATCTTGTGCATTTATTATCTCTTGTAATCTGTTTTTCAGGGGAAAAATCTCTGCGACTTAATCGAGATTTTTGGATATACTTCAAGGACTAAATATTTCAGGACCAAGTACAAAACTTTGCATGTAATTGGATTGTATATTTATTTCCTTACCTGTTCGAAAAAAAGTTTCCTTAAGGACAGATTACACACTTACCCAGAGGAACTTTGCAGACAACTCTTCCGAAGCCATGTGCACATTCAACTTTTTTCCAAGTTTCATCTGAAGCTAACAAAATGCTACATTTTCCATTACCACTCTTACTCTTATTTTCCCAGTTGACAAATTTCACTTCTGATCCATCTAACCAACTCCAGGACTGGTCTGAAGAAAGAAATTACATGTACCAATATTTATTGCCACTAAAAGTCAAAAGCATGTAGTTCACATAACTCATTAGAACTGTGCTGTATAATATGATAGACACTTTTTGAAATGAAATTCATTAAGAAGGAAAAAAAACTTAAATCAGTTGCACTTCAGTTGCACTAGTCACATTTCAAGTGCTCAATAGCCACATGTACCTAGTGACTACTATATTGGACAGTGCAGATATAGAACATTTTCATCTTTGTAGAAAGTTCTGTTGTGTAGCACTGATACAGAATGTGGTTCTTTTATTAAAGTGTGGAATGTTTGCACATTTATTGTGTGAGGGATAGATTTCTAAGAACTCATATCCTATCTCCACCAATTTAGGGAACTTATATCATTAAAGAGATGCTGGTGGAAGAGGAAGGGTCCAGAAAGGTGCCTCCCCAAACTCCACCACCATGACTCCATTTTTGTTTCCCAGCAGAGGTGGCTCCACCTTATGGTGATAGTGTAAACACAATATACAATTCATTAAGATGGCCAACTTTGGTTTGTTTTATTTTGTTTTGAGACAGGGTCTCACTCTGTTGCCGGACTGGAATGCAGTGGTATCATCATAGCTCACTGCAACTTCCAATACTTGGGCTCAAGTAATCCTCCTGCCTCAGCCTCCTGAGTAGCTGGGACTACAGGCACGCACCACCATGCCTGGCTAATTTTTTAAATTTTTTGTAGAGATGGGGTCTCACTATATTGCTCAGCCTGGTCTTGAAATCCTGGCCTCAAGCTATCCTCCCAACTCAGCCTCCCAAAGTGCTGGAATTACAGGCACGAGCCACTGTGTCCAGCTGAGATGGCCAACATTGAATGCATTCATTTTTTGACAAGTACTTAACATTTTAGAATTCACATTTATTTTAATAATTTAAAATTCAACTTTGCATAAAATGTGAAATAGACTTCCTATTCCTCTCTCAAATTTGCACTAATTCATTCTTTATCAATTCCAAGTTCACTCAAACCTCGTACATATTAATTCTTATTGAAAAATTCTTCCACAAATTCTCTTTTAATGAATTATCTGCAATTTTACTAAGCTATTTTGGGAAAAAAATCACTATTAAGACTTCATTTTAATCTGTGGTAAAAATATCCAAAGAGTAAAGAGAATTGCAAGAAGATAAGTTTCTGAATAACAGGATAATAAACTGCAAAAGCATGTGATGATTGGAACTAGAAGTCTTAGAGAAGTAAGTCACGGGTTCCTTGTAGGACACTGGGGACACAGACATTGCTGTAGGAGGAAAAGAAATCCTGATATTCATCCAAGGATCTTAGAAATAAGCCTCTAGAATAATTCCAGCTGTTGTTCTATTTCATTAGTGGTTTCCATCATATAAGTTATGTATTCATTCAAAATTTCTAAGCCTCCAGAACAGCAAGCAGACCTAGTTTATTTATCAATGAGAAGCATTTGACTTAATCACCACTTGACATCCTTTAGCAAGGCTGAAGAATGGTAGTTAGGACAAGTTAGAACTCTGTTTGCACACAAAATTGTGTTACTTACAGACAGAATGTTGAGATAATCCAAGCCAAACTCTCATGGTAATATTATTATTTTCCCTCATCAGTCTGCTCACAAATTTATTCTCAGCTTCATCTTTTATGGATATGATATTTGCAGAATGATCTGTTGAAAAAACCAAACCCCCAATGAATTACCTTTATGCATACTAGAGAAGTAGTTTATTCTGAACTAGCCATTTGAAAAAATCTATCATGAACAAGATCATTGAGAAATTCAAGCTTTACACAGAGACTGTTTTTAAAAACTGGTATTTATGTCAAAATTTTAACAGTACTTCCAAAAAATAAAAGCTTCCAAAAAAGTTAGAAACATTTCTAGATTGAAATATAGCAATTTCATGATTCTTCAAAATATTTATCTGGCAATATTTTTTGACCTTGGAACTGCCTAACTAGTGAGACCTTTGTGTTTGAACAGTTAGTCATAATAACTGGGGTATGTGATGTTAGAAATATGTCCCCCATAGAGATTTTTAGCCTGTTCTCCTCAACAACTATTTTTGTATAAATAACTCAGCTTTAAACTTGCTTCTCTTAAAATGAAAGTAAAAGTGAATAGACTCGAGATTGGGGAACATTAGTCCTCCCTTTAATATTTTATACATAAATGTGCTTGGTCATGTCCATTGTAAGTTTTTAAAACAAAATAGTATGGAATTAAATGAATGAGTATTCTTGAAGTTTGATAGGTAACCCTAAACTCATAGAGAAAACAGTGTTATCACCAGCAGCAGGGAAAGAAGGGATAGAAATAAAATAATAACTAAACTTGAAAATCAATCCCAAATGAAATCAAATAGTCTTCAACAGCAACAAACCTATCCATACTTTAACTAAAGCATTTCTTTTGTGGTGGAGGATATTTTAAGAGGGACAAAGGAAAGCCTTTACTCCTTTATAGAACACCACAGTGCACAGGTACTTTATAAGTTACCTTGTTTAATATTATACAACCTGGTAGAGGAAGGCGTTATCACTGTTTTACAGATGAGGAAACTGAGGCTCAAGAAGATTAAGAAAATTGTTCAGGTTTACACAGCTAGCCAGTTATAGAATTAGAAAGCCAATCTCAATCTTTCTAATAATAAGAGTTTTGAGAATTCACTATTTGCAGGGCACTGTGCCACATTTGCATATATCATCTCATTTCATCCATTCCTACAACTCAACCTATACCAGCCTATGAAGTAAGTCCTATTTTCATTCTCACTGTTCAGATGAGAAAAGAGAAACAATGACATCACTTCCACAGTATCTCTTAGCTAGTATGTGTAGGAGTTGGGCTTGAACCCAGACCTGTCTGCCCCAATGGCTTCAGTGCTTAACCCACGCACTACATTTACAGTAAACCTTTCTATCTTTTCCGTTAGGAGAAAGAGGCTCCTGACTTTCAGAACATACATATGGTTTACAATAGTTCCCATCAAGTATATACATGTATAACATACAACAGTTCTCACACAAAAGTTTATAGTAACCAGAAAAGTTTTTAATCAGTCAAGTGTCTCCACAATAGTTAGCAAAATAAATTCGGTAAGTGCCATCTGCCTGGCTAAATTGCTACCCAAGGAAGCAGATTAACAGTTTTGGTCTTTGAAATATTCTAGGTTGTCTCCCTAGAAGTCATTTTACAGTTTGACTATAGACTAAATTGTCACGGGAGAGAGCCAATCATTGCTGCTCTTTCTAAAACAGCTAAATCTGAAGACAAAAAGCCCTGGATGTGGGCCAATCCTACTGCGGAATGAATGGACAACCCATATGGCTTTGATTTTGTTACCCTGGTCAGGCTAATTTCACTTATTAATAACAAAGTAATGGAAAGTCTGTAATTAATATTTACTATTTAGCCAACTTTGCATAAATTTTTACCTCTTAATCCCTTCATTTAAGCATATATAACTATATTTAAAACTGTTTCATTTGTTAGTATTTTTTATTTAACAGTTCACTTAGCAATTTTTATTCTACTTCTTCCCACTTATTTTTATTTTCCATGTACTTATTCTTACACTGATAAGTTTTAATGGTTATTCCAATATTCCATTGCAATCATAAAGTATCATAAAATACTTAACCATTTCCCTACCACTGGGCAATTAGGTTATAATGCTATTATAAATGACAAGTGCTTTAAAATATTTAAAAAACATATAATCATTACTTCGAATTATGTCCTTAAAAAAATTTCTAAGAATTAAATTATTGAGTCAAAGAAAATCAACAAATTTTAACTCACCAAGTTTCGGACACAATTCTTTGGCCTCTGAGAAACTGTACAATGCCTGGTCAGACATGTAGCAGTGATCCCCATACTGGATCCACCTTGACCCATTGCCTTTTGCTGCTGGGCATCTTGATGAGTATTTATATGGGGACAGCTCTTTAGCTATAAAAACGTTAGACACAGTTGTAATAATGCACAGGAAAACCTGCCTGCCTTTTAAATCCCCTCCCATGTCCCTGTTTGAAACTTGTGTTTACGGGTAAGAAGCATTTAACTCAACATACATACCAGAGAAAGCCACAGCCTAAACGCTATAACTATACACTCTAATTAGCTTTTTGGAATACCATTTTAAAAACTTAGATGATAGAAGAGGAAATTATTTAGCCCTCTGAGACTGACTTAGACTAAAGTAAAAATAACTAGAAAAATGGAGTAGCAAAAGAAGCAAAGGCAGGCCTGAAACTACTCTGAAATAATAATCAAAATTCTTTCTTTCCTTGGATTCCTTTTTATTTTGAAAAAACCTAATTTTACCCAGACATATAAAGAACTATTTTTTAAAATTATACCCAGATTATTATAAATTATAAATTTATAATATTTGGTATAAATTATACCAAAAAAATTGGTAATTTGTTTTACAAAGCACAATATATCAGCACAGCAAAATCTCTCTCAAACAAACAAAAAAAAAGGGTAGAGGTGGCTTCTCAGCTCTTAAAAATGCCCGTTTCCAATTAAATTGTTTAATTTTTAATTGTGCTGAGTAACAACAAGAAGCCTGTGTAATGAAGCTTGTGCCCCTTACTGCCTGCTGTTAATTCCAACAGAAGAGCGTATGAGAACTAGAAAGTAAATTGTCAACAATGTCCTGTTGGTGAGGTACAGACAGTAATCCCAAGCCAAACGATTTCTTTGTAATGTATTTGGCATGGCCTGCATGTCCTTCAGCAATGGAAGGCTCTTCCTGCTTTTTTCTCCATTTGGCAGTGTCCTTCTTATTTGTGGTCTCTGTGCTTCTAGAAGGCTGTTGCCATTTTATTCTTCACCAAGAGACTTTTTGGTGGCCCTTAATTCCTTCTTCTGTTTCTTTATCTTTTGTTAGATGCCAGGCTTGATCTTTTTGAATATTAGTTATTTGATTGCCTTTTGCCTCCATTCTTCCCACTAATGCTACCAGTTTGAGTGCTAAGTCTTCCTTGGGTTCAACAGTTGGACTTCTGGATAAGTTTCCCAGCTGCTGCTAATGAAAACTCATTTGCTAAATTCATCTATAAAGTCTATAAAACTTCTGACAATTCATCATTAATGCTGCTAGTGGAAGCAGGTGTTACTAGCAAGTTCTTGCTTTTACTACCTTATGAAAATACTTTGCCAAAGTTGCTGACTATTGTTGCAGTGGGCTCAACTGGACTGATGCAAAACAAGTTGGACACTGGCTACCACGGCATTGCCAGGACTGGTGAACTTTTCCAAATGGTTTGACTTTAAAAAAAAAAATTCTTCTTGCGCTGAGAATGAAAGAGTCCTCATTTTGAAAGTCTGTTTATTTCTGGTACAGTCTGCAACTGGGCTGCCTTAGGCTGCATACATTTATTCCCCCTTCTTGTTCTTCGTGAAGTTTTCCTTCTAACTCTTACTTTTTTTTTCTCCTGCAAGGGCCTGCCTTGTGGTAAGTGTTATATTTCTGTTCAAGAAGATCCAATTTTTTAATCGTGGTAAAATACACATAACACAAAATTTACCATCTTAACTATTTTTAAGTGTATAGTTCAGTAGTAAGTACATTCACATTGTTGTGCAACCATCGCTACTATCCATCTCACAAAATTGAAATGCTATACCCATGAAACAATTCCAAATGTTGAATCTTCTCCTTCCAGTCCTTAGTAACTGCCATTCTACTTTCTGTCTCTATGAATTTGACAATTCTAGGTACTACCTCATATAAATGGAACCATACAGTATTTATCCTTTTGTGACTGGCTTATTTCACTTAGCATATTGTCTTCAAGGTTCGTCCATGTTATAGCATGTGTCAGAATTTCCTTCCTTTTTAAGGCTGAATAATATTTACATATATATATATATACACATATATATCCTCCACGTTTTACTTATCCATTCATCTGTCGATGGACACTTGGATTGCTTCCATCTTTTGGCTATTATGAATTATGCTGCTATGACATGCTCTACAAATATCTATTATGAGTCCCTGCTTTCAATTCTTTTGAGTATATACGCAAAGTGCTGGATGATACAGTAATCATATGTATAAGTTTCTGAGGAATTGCCATACCTTAAGGTGGTGTTAGGGTTGGTTCATTCTGGAGGCCCTGAGAGAGAATCTGTTTCATGCCTCTCTTATCTTCTGGTGGTTGCTGGCCATCTGGCTTGTAACTGTCACTGCAATCTCTGCCTTTGTCATCACGTGGCCTCTTCCATCTGTGTATCTGTCTCCCTTTTATGAGGACACCATTCATTGGATTCAGGGCCCACCCTAATCCAGTATGACCTCATCTCAACTAACTACATATGCAAAGACTACTTCTAAATAAGTCACGTTCTGAGGTTCTGAGTGGACAGGAATTTTGGGGGGACACTGTCCAATCCAGCACAGCACAGAACTTACATTTGGTCATGTTGTCATTCTCCTTCATCCCATAAAGTCTGTTTCTCTAACACATAGGTCCTCTCCATTTCTGCATGCCTTATTATAGTTCTCAGATATTCCAATTGTTTTTCTAAAAAATTACATTTGTTTTCTGTACCAAACAACAGAGAAATCAGTTCTTTGATTGTGTCTTTTTTCCTCATTCTTTATGTCATTCTCTCCTTCTTATATTTACTTATTTTATTAGACCAAGTTTCCACATTTTCTTGTGCTTGAATCTGTTCAATTCCAAATGCTGAATCTGCTCTTCAAGAGTCTTCAGAGCAGCAAACATGGTGAGCACTGAGAACCAGAGGCTTCAGAGACCAACGCCACCTCATGTTTCTGCCTGCCCCGCAGGTCTCTGTAGCCGTGGGACATCTGGGTTTTTGTGTTCTTCCTCCACGTTTACTCTGTTCCTAGCAAAGGTGACCCCAAGTTCAGCCCCTGAAGAGATGTTTTTTAAAAGAACATCTCAGCCTTTGGAACACATTGCTAAGTGAAATTAGATTTCACAAATTCTAAAGCAAAATTTACCTGGTGACAGATTGAAAGTCTTTGAGAACAAATTCCCTCAGTGGATATATTGTATTTGTTTCTATACACAAAGTATCATCAAAATTATTTGTACAGGATTTGTGGATAAACCTTATTAAAATAAAAAATTCTTGAGATTTAATTACGTGCATAAATCATGTCATATTTTAGTAATATATGGTTATTTGAAATCAAATCTTACATTTTGAAGGTTTGTAACAAATAGCACCATCCTTAGCAGAACTGCATTTTTCATGTTTCCAAATTCCTTTTGGATCCAATATAACACAGTTTCCAGGAGATTTTTGGCCTTTCCATGGAATGTAGTCAAATGTACTGCCATCAGACCATTCAAAACTTGATTCACTTCCCTGTTTCAAGAATAATAGAGATAACCGGAACAGAGATGTATGACTTCAAAAAGAGCACAAAGAACGATATACATACTTTAAGAAACACTGTAACGAAGTATTAATTCTTTGCTTACAAGTGTTATAGGTCTGAACCTATTTGTAAAATCAGAGATATCCTTTAGATGCATTGATTTGGGACATTTGCTCTGGCACAGTTTAAGTAGGACTTTAAACTTAGAGACAGTGTTACTGTACCCTGTCTCTAGATTTTTTGTTTGTTTGTTTGAAGGATGAGTTTACATAACGCTTGAACTTAAATGACATGCAAATGCCTTCCATTTGTCACAATTATAGATTTATAATCCCAACCTTCATATTGTTCTGAATACTGTTTTCTATGTTTTATAGTAACAGTTTTGCAGTTTGTATCTCTGGCTACATTTTTCATGTTACAGAGTCCATCAAGCAGCAGGGGGCTAGAAAAGGAAAATGGGAAGACTACTTTTGATTTTTCCTTGAATCTGTAATTTTGCCATCCTTTCTTTCATTGTCCCCACTTTGTTCTAAAGATAGTTTAAATTAGGACTAATCTCTAATCTCAATAGATGACTATTTTTTTTTTACCAGACATTACTATAAGTACATAAATGTACCAATTAATAGGATTGAAATTGTGGCACAGAAAATGTGTTTATCAGCAGAAGACTAATCTTAAATAGTGCTAATTTCTAGGTGAAAAGTGAGAAGAAAGTATAAATTTATTAGTCCTAACCTTGTTAAGAATTTTAGTTGGCACTTTATATAAATTTTTGTGTTAAAATCTCAATGAAAATATTATTGCCCCAATTTTATAGATGAGGAAATAAGGTTGCAAAGGTTAAACAACTTGCTCATGATCACCCAGCACATTAACGGAAGATCTGCCACTAGTATTGAAACTCAGGTTTTTTTGATTCTATGCTTTTCATCAGATTTCCAATTAGTCTTCCCCAAATTGACTACAGAAATATTGTTGATACATTATATTAATCTATTGCGCCCTTGGGTTGGCCTGGCCATTTGCCCTAGTGCATTCTACAAATAAAATTTTTTATTTGTTCTATGTTGTAAAAGGTAAGAAAGCACTATGCTTTGCAAACTGAATCCTAGGACTTAATATGATGCTGTACTCTGAATTAATATTTTATGCTCAAATTTCCAATCTTCAAAGTGACAGATTTGAAAAGTTTCTAGAAAACAAAGCAAGACTTACGTCATGACTTGAGAGCCCAACCCATAGTGGAAATCCATCGCGTTTTACAATATCCTCCAGAAAGAGCTGGCCATTTTGGTTATGAACACTTGCCAAATAACCTCCACTTTGAGAACACGTGTTTAATGCTTCATACCATGTTACCTTTTTTTGAATAACATTATAAACATCATCTTCATATGGAATAAACTGTGGCAGTGTAGCATTATATTCTTCTTTGTAGTCAACTATAATATTTAAATTAAAAGGGCTGGTGATTACATTATTTCAAAATACATATTTTGGATAAGATGACATGTCATCATTTCAAAAGTTAAATAAAACTGGGTTTCTCATTAATAAGGGAGGTCAAATGCATACTTTATTTTACTTATTGCTATAGCACATATCATAGGCTCTTAAATATTACAATTGTCTGGATGATTAAAAAAATGCATAAACATAGTCTTTCATTTAAGGGGCTCACATATTAGTTGGAGACAGAAAAAAACAATACCTGAAATGATGGCAAAACTATTAACTACTAGGAAATGTGAGACTGACTAGAGGTTCTTCAGAATTAGAGGAGTCAGGAAGCCTGCTTGATAAACCGGATCTCAAGGGTTAGGTGAAATTAAGACTAAAAAGAAATAAGGTAACCAGAAAGTAAGGAAGTACTAAAAACAAACAAACAAGAACAATACAATGATGAGGGCATTTCAAGGGACATAGGAACCAAGCGAAAGAGCTCCCAATGGCCGAAGTTGGAATAATTTGAGCAAAGTATTAAATAATGTAGTATGTTAGATTATAATCCAAAGTATAAAATAAATAACCATGAGCCCATACTAGGTCTAGAGGGTTAGAGGAAAATAATAAAAAGAAGGTAACTAGAAAGTAAAGAAGTGCTAAAAACAAACTACAAACAACCACAAAACCACAATGATGAGGGTGTAAATAAGTGAATGAATACATTTTAAAATGAGAGAATATAGACAAATCTCCTGCACTGAAGAATTCTAAATAATTATATAGATAGCTCCCCCTTCCTCAGGAAGGTGGGGAATAACCCTCCAACCTGTAAGGATGGACTGAGCACAGCGACTTCCTGACAAGGAGAACAGTATGGAAAGGGGGAAAAAGAGGACCTTTACAGTAGAGAAACCTGACAAACACTACCTTGAGCCAAGTGGTCAAGGTTAAAATCAATAGTGATAAGTCACGTGGACAGTATGTACTGTTCATATGAACTGATGAGACTGCCACTTTACATCTGTGGTCTTCCCCCCCAGAACTCGTAACCCCAGTTTAATCATGAGCAAACACCAGCCGACCCAAACTGAGGGATGTTCTACAAAATACATGACCAGTGATCCTCAAAACTGTCAAGATCATCAAAAATAAGATAAGTCTGAGAAACCATCACAGCCAAGAGAAGCCCAAGGAGACACGATGACTGAATGTAATGTGGTGTCCTGGATGGGATCCTGAAGAGAAAAAGCACGTCAAAGAAAAACTAAGGAAATTTGAATAATGTATGGACTTTAGTTAATAATAATAAGGTATCAATATTAGTTTACCAGTTGTGAGAAATGTACCATACTAATGTAAGATGTCAATAATACAGGAAACTGTTTGTGGGCTGTATGGGAACTTTCTATACTATCTTTGCAACTTTTTTTTAAAATCTAAAGCTATTCTAAAATGAAAAGTTTATAAAAGAAATTAAAAAAAAAAAAGAAAGAAAGAAGGTGTAAATCTTCTCGACAGGAAAAAAACATAAATAAAGGTACAAATATGAGGATGGGCGCCCACTGTACATGGTACAATTTGGAGATCAGCCTGACTGAGAAAAAGATGCTTACTGAGCAAGAATGAGGAAAAATGGGGAAAAAAATGGGGGATAGGAGGGCCTAGAAATTAGGGATACAGACTTGTTTCTAGAGTCTCAAAAGATTACATGGACTCAAAGTAATTCAAAATAGGAATCCTTGGAGATTGTTGATGGCAACGGTCTTCAGGAAGTTAATCTGCAGCACTCTGAAGAGAGGCAATTAGCCAGGATGCTACCATGATAGGCTTTGTGTTAGCTGAGGGCTTAGAGCAAAGTGGTAGTAATGACATTTAAGCTGTGAAAAATTTTAAACTAATGTGCATTTTAAAGTAGATTTATTTAAGGATTAGGCAAGGTTGAGAGACATTCATTTTGCCTGGAATATCAAAACTCTACCCAAACCCACTTTCTTATTTGTAAAAATCCTATCTATCTTTCAGGGACCAACCAAGTTCCACCTCTTCCTGAAGGCATCCTTTATTTTCATTGTTCCTGTTTTCATTGATCACATTTGATTGACTTCCCAACAAATTTAAGTCTGTACCAAATAATCTAAGACTAACCTATATAAAATAATTACAAAGAATTTAATGCTATCTCTCCACCTACATTTTACTCTTTGAGGTCAAGACTGTGACACCAGGGTCCTTGTCTTCCTTCCTCCATGACCTCTGTAGCACCTTGTGTAGGACTGAATACAGAGGAAGCATTAAAAAATCATGATTGCATGATTCCCCCCGCGGGACTAATGGCCTTATATTCTCTTTTCCTGGAGTTAAAACTCTACATTAGCATACTTACCCATTTCAATTTTACAAGCAAGAATGATGTGCTGGTGAAAATAAAATGTTTCTTCATTAACATTAAAGGTTTGAATATCCCAGAAGCCATCAGTACTCAAACCGACCCAAAACTTGCCATTCTTTATAGTTGGTCTTCCTTCTCTCCAGTGTGTATAGGACAGCATAGTCTTATCAAACCACACGAAAGAATTATCTGGAGAAAAAATATTTTTTTTCCTATGATTAGAGATTAAATTAAGACTTGAATTATAGTTTTAAGGTTCATATTTCAAACTCAACTTATTTTATTTTTCCTTTCCCCATCTTTTAAAAGGTTGCATGATTATGTATAACCCTTTAAAATATTTTCTGATTATAACAGTAAATCATGCTTATTTTTAATTTGGAAAATATATATATTATAAATATAAAAATTAAAATGTACCTATAATTCCACCATCCTTCGATAATAACACTGTTATTTTTTCACCAAATATCCATTTCTCTTGCATATGTGTTTAATTACAATGAAAATGAATGTAATTATTTTATTAAAAAATCATTGATATATTCCAAAATTAGTGACAGAAATCTCTTCTTTGGACATAAACTGTACACAATTGTGCATACTATGGTCAATTGATTTTTAAGAAGGATGCCAAGACAATTCAATCTGGAAAGAATAGTCTGTTAAACAAATGGTGCTGGACAATTAGATATCCACATGCAAAAAAAAAAAATAATGAAGTTGGAGCCCCTCCTTTCACCATATATAAAAATTAACTCAAAATGGATTACGGGCCTAAATGTAAGAGCTAAAGCTATAAAACCCTTAGAAGAAAACATAGGATTAACTGTTCATGACTCTGCAGTAAGTAAAGCCTTCTTAGATATGAACAAGTGGCAAAAGAAAAAAATAGATAAATTGGACTTCATCAAAACTAAAACTTTTGTGCTATCAAGAAAGTGATGGGAGAAAATATTTGCAAATCATTTATTTGACAAGGGATGTAGATATAAAATATATAAACAACAATTAAAAAAGACAACTCTATTTTAAAATGGGCAAAAGATATGAATAGAGATTTCTCCAAAGATGATATACAAATATCTACTAAGCACATGAGAAGATGCTTAACATCATTAACCATCAGGGAAATGCAATAATTCAATGAGCTATCACTTCACACCCAGTTGAATGGCTATAATCAAAAAGGCAGATTAAACAAATGTTGGCATAGATATGAAGAAATTGGAACTCTCATACGCCACTTTTGGGAATGGAAAATGGTAGCTGCTTTGGAAAACAGTCTGGCAGTTCTTTGAAGGGTGAAACAAAAGACCCAGCAATTTTGATCCTAGATGTATACCCAAGAGACATGAAAACATGTCCATATAAAAACTTATACATAAATATTCACAGGAGCATTATTGATAATAACCAAAAAGGTAAAAACAACTTAAATGCCCATCAACTGATAAATAGATAAATAAAATGTGATATATCTGCAGAATGGAATATTATTCAGCCATAAGTAGAAAATAATGTACTGATACATGATGCAATAAGAGTGAATTTTGAAACTTTAAGCTAAGTAGAAGAAGCCAGTCACCAAAAATAAATAAATAAATAAAAATTCACATATTGTATGATCCCATTTATATGAAATGTATAGCATAGACAATCTACAGAGACAGAAAGTAGATCAGTGGTTGCTGATGACTAGGAGAGGGGTAGCAAATAGGAAGGGAATGCTACAGGCTATTGTGGTTTCTTTTTAGGGTAGTGATGGTTGCAAAACTCTGTGACTATACTGAAAATCATTAAATTGTGCACCTCAAATGTCTGCATTGAATGGTATGGGAAAATGTCTCAATGAAGCTTTTGAAAAAAAAGTTGCTAGGCCTATCAAAATTATAAATTGGTATAAAGAGTGATGCCATCATTACCTACATATACCTGATGCCCTGATTACCATCTCTCAAAGCAACAGATCTAGACATATGCATGCGGCAATGACCCACTACAAGTACTGTGCATATATTTGGCTCTTGCTTGCTGCTTTATGTCACTGCACGCCTCCCATGCCTCTTTCCCTCTCCCAAACTGCAAAGTTATTGATTTTCTGATCAACACAATGTGCAATGGTATCTTTCTAAAGTTGGTATAAGAAAGGGTCACTTTTTCACTTGGCTTGAAGTATCTCTTAGTTGACATCTCTTAGTGGTTTCTCTTAGTAATTTCTATTCATGGTCCTACTGTTAAAAAGTCAAGAATGTTTTAAAAAACAAAATCCTTTGTATAGGTGCTATATACAATTAAATATTCTGTAAGTATATTGAAATAACTAAAAACGCTGACTTAGGGATGTAAATTGAGTCAGTAAGAATTATATTTAAAGCAAATTACTATTTGCTTGCAATATCTTTCTATGTGTTCCTCCTATCTCTATACATTTTAATAGAAATTTTGTTACTTATACGTTTTATAAGAAGACAATTAAAAGAAAGTCTTCATATCTGAAAAACAAAATCCTTTGTATAGGTGCTATATACAATTAAATATTCTGTAAGTATATTGAAATAACTAAAAACACTGACTTAGGGATGTAAATTGAGTCAGTAAGAATTATATTTAAAGCAAATTACTATTTGCTTGCAATATCTTTCTATGTGTTCCTCCTATGTCTATACATTTTAATAGAAATTTTGTTACTTATACGTTTTATAAGAAGACAATTAAAAGAAAGTCTTCATATCTGAAAATGCTTTTTCAGAATATAGAATACATTTTCAATCATTTCTGATAATATAACTACAAAGTACACCAGAGGATAAAATTTAAGTCTCTATATCCTGGGTATGGTCTCCATTGCTCAATACAAGACCACTGTTTCTTCAGTGGCTTTCAGGTAAAGCCTGGGAACTTTCCTCCTAGTTTCTCTCCATTGTTTTTCTCACTCCTAACTTTAAGCGTACTCAAGTGTCATTGGAGAAAAGACTTAGACCAATTAAGTCCTATGGTGATGGACTTATCCTCAACTGGCAATGCAAGTCTTCTCTATTGCTTGATAGTTTAATTTTGATTAACTCATCTGCAAACCATAAACATTTAAGAAAACCTTGGCAACAGTAAGAAATAGGTAGCAAAGGAGAAGCCTGTTTTTACTAATAAAATGGTCAGAGTTGAGTAATTTAGCTTCTTTTGCTATTCTACCTCTGGCTGTCATTGTTCTGTGCCCCTTATTAAACCCTTTTTAGAGTAAATTTATGCTTTTGATGCTTTATGCTGACAATAAATTTTCCTAAATCCAAAACCTCTATGATTTTCAGGTCATCTCTGAGAATCTTTCTAAATTGGTCTTGTTTCCCCTATATTGGACTCTATGTTTTTAAAAATTTCATATTAATCACATTTGGATTTGTGGTATTTAGTCCAAATTTTAATATTCTATCCCATTATCAGACCATGTGTTTCATTTTTCTAATGCTTACCATATGTATACCCCAAGCCAATGTTATAAACCCAAAGGTGCAACATTAATAGAAGAATGATTCTATTCTTGCACATCCCACATAGTTAGTAGAGACATAAATATTGGAGATTTATTTGGGAGTGTGATCATTTTTAGTTAGTCTTGAGTTGCTAGAAGGAAGAGTGAAGCAAGGAAATTATTTTCTACCATTTAACTCTAAACTTAGTAGTAAAGGTATTTTAATAGCAGAGCAGGCCAGGTGCGGTGGCTCATGCCTGTAATCCTAGCTCTCTGGGAGGCAGAGGCAGACGGATTGTTTGAGCTCAGGAGTTCGAAACCAGCCTGAGCAAGAGCGAGACCCCGTCTCTACTAAAAATAGAAAGAAATTAATCGGACAACTAAAAATATATAGAAAAAATTAGCCGGGCATGGTGTGGCGCATGCCTGTAGTCCCAGCTACTTGGGAGGCTGAGGCAGAAGGATTGCTTGAGCCCAGGAGTTTGAGGTTGTTGTGAGCTAGGCTGACGCCACAGCACTCACTCTAGCCCGGGCAACAAAAGCGAGACTCTGTCTCAAAAAAAAAAAAAAAAAAATAGCAGAGCAGAGACACAAAAACTGTCTTGGTATTTACATAAGTTATATTAAGTACATAATTATACTTTTATATATTGATAAATATGTACTTTGAAGAATTATACTTTTATAGCTTGATAAATAGGTTATAATGAAGTATGAATACAAATAGAGAAAAATCAATGGATTTATAACTTACTTTCATAAGTTATTCCTAACATGACCCATGAAGCCATATGATTGAAGTATAGAAGTTGCTCAAGAACAAAGTTATTCTCATTTTCATTTCGAATACTCAGAATATGTGATTTTGGATCTGTTAAATAAAAAATAACCAATAATTTTAATAATTACTTACCCAGAACATTTTACTTTATTTTATAGATTTACAAAATTCTATTTCCCAGCTTAATGTACTCTAAAACTTAAACAATATTGGAAAATTAGAAAGACATGTAAATTAAAACCATCTTGTACTAAAATGAATAGGTTAAGAAGTTTTCAAACATTTTGGTGTTAAATTCGATCTTACAGTATGGTGGAAGACTAGTAGCTGAATAGAGAATTTAAAATGCTGATTCACTTCACTTTCCCCCCATTTAAAGATCACTTTAGTTGATACAAATCCACCCATGTTAATGCTATCCTGTCAAAGTTATTCTATAAGGAATAAAACCTCTTGAACAGCTATAAACCGTATCTTCCTTTTCCTTAGAGATCACTATTATATTAGGGTTAAAAAGGGTAATATTTCCCAAAGTGTGTTCCTCAGGAAATTAACAAGCGGGTCCCTCAGAAAAGGTCTACATGGATAAAAAGTTTGCAAACATTGGTTTAAACAAAGTCAAACTTTGTTAATTTATGCCAGTTTTTCATAAAGTGCATGCTAATGTATTAATACATTTGATAATGTTCAATAAAAGCTATGGTATCTAGTGTTTCTCAACCTTATACTTTTTCAACTTATTCTTTTTCTAAGGATTTCTTTCCCCAGAACATCTCTCAAGACTAGCATTACACAGAGCACACTTTGGGGAATAACGGTTTGATATTTTCCATAGGAACTTTCCACAAAGTTCATAGTTCCATTGTTCATAATCCTCAGTGGATCTCACAGGAATTATCTCAAGAGTCTTGAGAGCTGAACATGTGAAATGTGTATTTCTTTACACATAGCTGCTTCTTTGTGGCACATCTAAGCTTTCAACCACTCAGACTAACCTATTTTCACTTACCCACAACCTAGCTTGATTTAACATCCAGTTCTCTACTCTCTTGTGTCACCTCTTTTCCTTCTGAAGGAGAACCCATCTTGTTAACACACACAAAGAGCAGTTCTCCAATAAATGAGTAAAGAGGTTAATCCTATACTTTCCGTTTTAACTAAACAGAAATTTTAATACTTTGTCGTTGATAATGCAGAAATAAGAAGATGAATATTTTTGAGATCTAGTTACTGGTGGTAATTAGAAATATTTATAACATGGGTGAGATTTAAAAAAATATATAATGACAGTATACTATACTTACTTAGTTTCTGGCATTTAGAATGAACTTCATCCTGTGTCGTTGCCATATGTGTATTCTTTGTTACCATGAAATTGTAGCAACAGTTCTGAAATGGTATCCATGGAGTATTTAGAATGGTAGATGGACATTTAACACTGTAAACTGGTTTTACCTCTTTTTCAGTCTCATCTAGAAAAAGGGTCGATGATAAGAATTCCAATTTCAGATATAAATGTTAAATCCTGTTCATAGCCATTAAACTCGATTTGAAGGGAACATCAGGGAGCCAAGAACTAATAGCCTGGTGAAGCTTGTTATCTGGTTGTACTCAAACACAGTGTACAGAAAGCCAGCTTTCTGTAGGAAGGAGGTCATGTGACACAATTTTCTTACCCCTGCTGTGGAGTGGAAGAATGTAAAAAATGAGGTGCTATTATGTTAAGTGCAGTTTCATTCTTCCTGTATTACCATATGTCAAGCACAAGGGGCCACCTCAGAGAAACTACATGAACATATTCATTATTAATAGGCACTTAACTATAACTTTGAGAATTCATTTTCAAGTTTCTGCCTACTGACAGCTCTAATTTTAAAGGAACATTTTAATGAAATACTTGATGCTCTAAATAAGTTATTGCTTTAACCAAATCAAACAGAAATATTGCTTAAAATCTGGCATCTAGAAAAGCTGATTATGTTTTTCATTTTATGAAAAGGCCATACATTCAAAAAGATGCAAATATAGATATGCTCTGCTCAAAATAAATCAAACCGGTTTAATATGAAGTAGGGATCGTTCAGTATTTCTCCCAGCTCACAACATAGCACACTTTGGGCAATATCCCCTTTGTCGGTGAAGTAGCATCTTCTTTCTACCACAAACCCACAGATGTGGTCCTCTGACAGTTGTAAGTCCACTTACCTCTGAATGGGCTAGAGATTGCGTACCTGACTCAGGCTAAGTTCATCAGATTCTCTCTAAGGATTTGAAAAGTAGAATTTTGAAATTGACAACTCATCTCCACTTACAGTTGTAACTGAAAGCTGCAGAGCTGCCATGTTCCACCAGCGCAGAGAGAGGCTAAAGCACATTAAAAGAAAAGTGCAGATCCACAGAGGGGTGGACGAGGGTATCTCTGGGTGCCTGACTCCCATTCCCCCAATTTCCATTTGGGGGTTCTAAATTTCACGTTGTCTTAAACTAGCTTGAGCTGGTTGCTGTTACTTGCCACCAACTGTGGCACCAACTAACAGTGGCTCAATAAAGTAATGATAGTTGTGATGTTAAGAATTATGACAGAATTCCCACAAATATAAATTTCCTATAACAATATGAATATAACATATATGCAAAAGAGGCTAAGTAACAATAAGACAATACTCAAGTGTCAACCACCATTGTTTTAAAGATAAAACATGTCTAAAATAACTCACTAATAACAAAATATTTAATATATAATAACTATCTGAATATAAATTTTCACAACAAATTTTGTTGTCAAAAGGGCATGATTATAATTCCTTTGCAAATCCAAAACCAGATTTTATAAAACTACTCCCTGGAAATTTTACTACTCATGAGATTGATGATAATAATTTAAGAATTAAAATATTTAAAATTCATATACTTCCTGGATAGTAGCATATAGCGCCTGGCTGATTATCATTGCAATCCGCTGTTTTCCAGAATCCATCAGTGTCTAACATTACACAGTCTTCAAGTTGCTCATTATCTTCAGCCCAGCGACTAAAATGTAGACGTTTCCCATCTGACCAACCAAAGTTGAGTTCATCCTGTAAGGATCAGAAATACATTTCAAGTGACAATATTCATGTTATCACTTTGTATTATTTTGACCCTAATGGTCAATATAACGACTTTTAATTTTATTTTATATTGAACATACACATAGCATTTACTATGTGCCAGGCATTGTTCTAAGTGCTTTACAAATACTGACTTATTTAATCCTCATAACAACCATATGAGAGAGGTACTATAATTACCTCCACTTTACAGGAGAGGAAGCTAAAGGTGTGTAACTTGTGCAAGTCGCACAGAATATAAACTACAGTGCTAAGACTCTAATCCAGGCTGTCAGCCCCTAGAGTCTATGTCCCAACCATTACGCTTTGCTGCTATACATAATTGGAACTGTTGGTGGTTGGAAATCAGAAAACTAAATTGAAGTAAGGACCACTGTGAGAGCTGATTAAACCCAAGACAACATGGAGAAGTAGAAAGAGCATGAGCTTCGGAGACAAGCATGGCTGGTTTTGAATCCTGTTTCAGTCACTCACTAGCTTTTGATTTCTGAGCCTACCTCTCCAAATTTCCATCCCGTCGTCCGTTAAACGCGTGCGGCAGTTGACTTCACAGGGCTAGAATTAATGGGATAACATGTAAAGCATGTATCCTAGTGGCCAGCTGGCACACAGAACTACATCAATGCTAGTTCCCTTCCTCTAGCCCCTCAGGCCTTGTGGATCTCATACCTCTGTTTTCACACTTGACTTTGGGGAGAAGCTACTTCATTCACCATATTATGTTGTGTGCTAGAAATCTGTGTACATCTGTCTTTACAACCTGACGAGGGCCTGACCACCCACCTAGGTACAGGGGATGGATTACGGGGTACAGGTCTGTCTGAGCTTCCCACAGTGCCACCAGAGCACCAGGCCTTCCATACCAATGCTGGCCCAATCGACACACTGAGCTAAGCTTTCCTGAGGCCTAAAGCAATTTGCACCACTAGTTTATTTGGAATATTGAGCAAAGGCCACACATGAGTCTCCTTAGTAAACCATAAACAGCAAATACAGTCAAGCCTCAACACCACCAGCTGCCTCATTCTGAATTGTTAGAGACCAGAGTTCCAGCTGTAACCCTGGGCCAGTTCATCCCTAAGCCATCGTGGCCTCAAATGTGCCTGCACTGTTGTCTGTACTGCCCTGTACTTCTCCTTTGCTGTCCTCCCCCTGGCCCCTGGCCCTGGGCCTTTGGACTTTCCATTCCATCCTACATAAATCATCCCACACCTTCTATCTCTTTACTGAATACAAACTCTCTTTATTAAGACTATAAATATCTCTTTACTAAATTCTTGACCTTAATCGATCTTAATTTAAATCTGGCTTTTCCAAGGGAATAACCTCCTTTCAGCACCCACAAGGGAAGGCTGTTTGTTCTTCCATTCTCAGATACCACAGGGCTAGGAGAAAGCGGTAGTAGGCATTTTTATCTCCTTCAGTCGCTTCCTTTGAGGTTGAAGCCCTTCTTATCACTGCAAACTCCGCAGAATCCTCCCCTCTCTTGGACCTTCGCTGAGGACTTGGCCCTCTTGCTCGCTCCTGACTTTTACTAAGGAAATGCCACATCTTGCTCTGTCCCCCTGGCCCTACCATTGACGTAGGGATGTCTGGGTTCAGTGGATGGCACACCAGTCTCAAGCCTTCTTGACTTCCTCTCATTCCATGTATTTTTACTTCTATGTACTTGAGTGACCCCGGCCATAGACACACTCCGTACTTTGTATGACCCTAAGCTGCTGCACCTCAGACCCTGTAAACACGCCTTAGGCCAACATCTTTTTCTGCATTGATTTATACAAAAATGACTGGTCTTCCTCTCTGCAGACTGCTTGTTTCCTCCCCCCCCCACTACCCTGTGTCATTTTACTTAAGTAAAATCTTATATTGTTGCTATTTTGTTTAAAATCTTTCAATACCTTCTCATTGCTTTCAACATAAATTGTTATTTGTTAATATCCTGGCATGTTCCAAAAAATTAAGGCAGCTTATGAAGACACATAATAAACAGCTGCACTCAATATGTTAAAATTAAGGGTGAAAGGAAAAAAACTATAGGAAAATAGGATAAGAAATAAGATCAAAATCATTACGTGGGAGAAAAATGTTATAAAACAATCTGACCCCAATTGTCTTCAAAATAAATGTGTACATATAAGAATAACTTGAAGGATACATACCAAAATAAACCATATGTATCTTTAGGCACTGGGATTACAGGCAACTTTAATTTTCTTCTTCTTCTTCTTCTTTTTTTTTTTTTTGGAGACACTCTCACTTTGTCACCAGGCTAGAGTACAGTGGCATCATCATAGCTCACAGCAACCTCAGACTCCTGAGCTCAAGTGATCCTCCTGCCTCAGCCTCCCAAGTGGCTGAGACTACAGATGTGTACCACCACACCTGGCTAACTTTTCTATTTTTCTGTAGAGACAGAGTCTCACTATGTTGCCCAGGCTGGTCTTGAACTCCTGGGCTCAAATGATCCTCCCACCTCAGGTCCCAAAGTGCTGGGATTACAGGCATGAGCTACTGTTCCTGGCCTAATTTTCTTCTTTTACTTACTACACTTTACAAATTTTCTACAGTGACAATATTGCTTTTGTCTCAAAAGACTTAAGGTGATTGAAACTGGGAAATATAATAACTTATTACACTCTCACAATAGACACGACGAGTTTCAGACAAGAGAAAGCAAGTGAAAGCCATGCTATAAAAGAATTGATGCTCTGAGGGCTGGGTAAGCAGCTTCCTAATCACCCGGCTTGATTAAGGGTAAATTTTAAAATACCCAGAGGCTCAGAGAAACCATTCTGCAAGCCATTTTTAAATGCTACTTTTAATTGCACTTTTGGTAACAATTCTGGTTTATTCATCCATTCTCCAGGTCAATTCTGAGTTTGTGCTAGGACTAAATTGTCTTCAGTCACATTTTCTCCATGCAGCCCTAGACCCATCTTGGTATGTTGTGGTATCCCCTGGCTGAGAAAAGAGGCAAAAATAGCCTATAATCCCAACAGGAATACAACACCTTTATATTTTTTAAAAATCCCCTATTTAATGACAGCCCAAAGCTTCAGCTGTATAACTATCCCTGTTTGTGCAACATGCATTTGGTTAGTGTTGGGATAATTGGAGACTAGCATTCTTTGTTCAGCTATGAAATGAATGAGAATTACCCCAGACTTCTATCCAGATCAGCACTTGGATGGGATGAAACATTATTCTAATCCCTTTTTAAAGTAGCTTAATTTCACTCTGCTGACTTTTTTTTATTAGAGACAGAATCTTGCTATGTTCCCCAGGCTGGATTCGAACTCCTCAGCTCAAGCGATCCTCCAACTCTACTGATTTCGAAAGGGATAGAAAGGACACTTCAACACCATCCACAGTGTTTCCCATGCCCAGCCCCATCTGATGTTTAAATTCTTCCCTTCTTATCTTTTCCTTGGCTAAAGAGATGCCAGTTCCCGATTCTAGCTCAGTCTTTGATTAGAATAAATAAAAAGAAGTGCTCAAGCATACATGTCCACCAGAACCTTTTCCTCATTTCAACAATAACACACTAGATCTTTCAATAGTGGAAAGACAATTGCCACAAAAAGCCACATATTCCATGAAATTTACTGGAATAAAATTTTAAGATATACAGTTTCTTTTAGTGTGGTATCAGATGCCATGCACAATAAAAAACATTGCATCCCATTGCCTGGTCCTGACAGTTGGAACTGAAAACTTACATCCTGACTGGAGAGTCCAATCCACAAGGAAGAGTTGTGGAGGACGGCCTGCACGGTGAGGAACGCCTGGTGGTAAGGGTCCGTGATGCTCACCAGCTGCATGTTGTTTTTCAGACACTCCTTTTGAGCAGCGTGCCAAGTCAGAGTCTTTGGGATTATTTTGTACAGGTTATTTAGGTACTTTATAGTTTCTGAAGTATTCTGTAAGGTCTCTCTGCTTTTAATTTCTGTGTATAAAAGAAAACAAGTAACAGCAACAACAAACCTCTCCTCCCACTCTATAAGTCATGGGACCCTTTTTCAAATTTCTCCCCATACTACTCTA